TAACTCATACCTCATCTTTAAAACAATCGAATTATCTTTCTGATAAGCTCGAAATAATATGCACCTCTGATTTTTGGTTCTCATATTTAGCTATTTTCTAAAAGGTATCTTAGCTGAAGCAAAATTGTGGAGCAATACCTGCTAAAGACCTCTGAGATGCCTTGTTTCGTCTGGCTCAGAGTCAGATCTGCGGCAGCAACACTCAACACACCAGGGATGTTGTCTGGGGCGCTCTGACGTCGGCTGATTTCATAAGTGTTCCTGGAATTCAGACTCACGTCCATGAACCTTAAGTCTTCAGGTCTATCTGATGTGGAAAAGGTCTCGTCATCATCTGGACTGAGAGGATCAGAGTCAGCGTTGAAGAAAGAGCTAGAAGAAAACGTCCTGAGAGAGTGTTTTGGAGTTGACGGACCGGCTGACGAGCACAGCTCTCCTTCATCACCATGTGTTGACTTGAACACTGAATCCTGGGTTTTTGAACAGCGGTCAGTCGATCCATCCTCAACTCCAACTTGAGGTGGTAGAGTTACTTCAGAGAGTGACTGGTTTATCAGAGACGTAGAAGACACGGCATTGGAGTCTGCCGACAGTTCCCCGTTTGCCGTCATACGGTCATCTTTAGAATTCAAGCAGCTTCTTGCAGGATGAGATGAATTTGGAAAGTCGCGTTCGGTCACTTCATGTTCATTGTGGTTCGCATGTCCATTTGGGAGCTTAGTGCCACATGGCTGGTTACTGGTCTGTTGCAGTACTTTATCACATGACTCTGGCACCTCATGGTCCTCGCTTCTCTGCGATTGGCCTTTCTCTCTCTGCGATGTACCAGTATGAGAGAACATACCTTGCATTATGTTCTCCTGCCTGTCGGTAACATCTGAGATGCGGGGAGGTGGTCTGCCTTCATCAGCACCCGTGCCTCCAGAGGAAGACGCCTCAACCATCAGCTTCACAGGTGAATCTACAGAACGCCCACTATGCTCGGAGATGACACTGCACTTCTGGACCCCACAGGGCGGATAACCTAAAATAAAACCAATTTGAATTGGTGCTTTCAAAATATACACAGTAAAACACTAGTTCAAGCGCTCTAACTATACAGACAGCATTTTAAGACGTGATGGGCATGTTTGGAACGTTTGATTCAGTGTTTTTGGGCATCATAGATAGTTTGGAATGTTTGATTCAGTATTTTATACACTAAAGATGTATTTGGAACATCTGATAAAGGGGTGTTTGGCACATTTGATACCCTGTTGGAACTATTGGAACATTTGATTCACTGTTGGAGCTATTGGAACATTTGATTCGCTGTTTGATTCACAGTGAACATTTGATTCACTGTTGGAGCTATTGGAACATTTGATTCACTGTTGGAACTATTGGAACTTTTGATTCACTATTTCGGGGCTCATACTGTGTAATCAATCTTCATAATCTCTGGAATATTCAGTATTTCGGACATCATAACATCATTTTTTAACAACATAACATTTCAAAATGTTTGATTTGAACATTTGATTCAGTTTGTTTAACAACATTATCACGTTTAGAAAGTATAATTCAGTATTTTGGGGCATGACAAAACATTCAAATCAGGCATGAGTTTCAGTATTTTCGGGCACTGTTGAACTTGAATGTTCAAAATGTTGGAAATATTCTATTCAGCATTTATGGGCATCGTAATTGCATTTATAAAGTTTGTTTCGAGCATTCGATTCAGCAGCTAGTGGAGCATTAGAATCAAGTTTGGAATGTTCGATTCAGTGTTTTGTTGCGTCATAATTTCATTTGGAACATATTGGTACATAATATATGCAGATGTTTTTTTTTATATATATATCGTAACAGTTTGGAATGTATGAATTCAGCTATATTGAACATCATAATCACGTTTAGAACGCTCGAGTAATTTGGAACATGATAGAACATTCCATCCGTGCATTCGATTCAGCATACTTATGATTCGAGCATTCGATTCAGCAGTATAGCTGAGCATCAAAATCAAGTTTTGAAACAATATTTTGTGGCATGACAGGTGCGTCTGGATAAAAACAAAATTCCGAACATTCCGAAGCCCATAAATGCTGTCTAGGTATACAGCTCAATAATGTTTTAAGACACAGCCTATACTGCATTACTGTCAAAACGCACAATAAAGAAGAGACTGTACATACATACCCATCGGCCGCAGCCCAAATCCTGATAGCAGCACGAATGACCTCTACTGTAGACCCCTTTTTAAACCACCCAATGAGGAATATTTTTATCTCAGTTTGCTCTCATATAAAGGAAATATATCTGTACATGTCCATCCTCAGTCTTTTCCATCTCATTCAAAATCCTCTTGTGGATTGACAGCCAAAGCGCTGTAGTTCAGTGTTGGACTCCGCACTTTTTTCCCCATGACACCTTTTCAGACGGTCCTCCAACATATTAACAGGATAAGTATTAATAGGATGCAAATAGCGTGAGTTAATAGACATGCCCGTTAAAACATTAAAGCTTTCCTGACTCTGACCGGTAGATGTTCGTATCCTGATCCGAAGCCATCTTGAAATTCCAGTGACGTCATTTGATGATGTACTAACAGGAGACTCCACGCGCCCCCTGCTGGACATTCAATAACACACATTTAGATGACGCAGGCTACACATAAATATTATACTGTACAGTCAGACACAATACACACACAGATACATAATGATTGCACAACTACATATTCATTTGTTAAATTACATTAAATTGTGCTTCACAACTTTAGATTGCACACAACTGTCAACAGTCAATTTTCATTCGACAAAAAACATTTAGGAAAGACTGGAATAATTTAAATATTTCTCAGAGATTTTCTGTAAAATTAAAACTTTGCCAATGTGAAACACACAATAAATCATGAAACAGCACAACTGTAAAAGCTAAAATACATAAATATCAAACAATTGTTTTTGCTAACAAATATTGTAATTAATTTATTTTATTTTATTATGCAAGTCCAATTTTGAAACATTTACAGTTTTTCTCAGTTGCTTCAGTACATTTCTTGAATCTTTCTTAAGATTTGCAAACCAGTAAGTGCATTTCTTCAAAAAATGTTTACAAACAGCATCACACAATGGATTACCAGCAGAAGCCTGCAACTTACTCAAAATCCTTAGTTCATCTCTCAAAACAGTATTTATGTCAATGAATATTAGTGCCATCAGAATGACACGTCCTTGTGTCATTGTTCACAAACAAGATAGTAAAAATACTTAGTCGTGTTGTCAATATAACAGTGTACTCTGTTAATATTGTTGAGATATATAAGACAGTAACATAGCAGATCAACATACACTCTCAGAAAAAAAGGTACAAAAGCTGTCACTGGGTCTGTACCTTTTCAAAAGGTACACTTTTGTACCTAAAGGGTGCATATTGGTACCTTAATGGTACATATTAGCACCTAAAATGTACATATTAGCACCTATGTACATATTAGCAACTAAAATTTACATATTAGCACCTAAAATGCTAATATGTACATATTAGCACCTAAAATGTACATATTAGTACCTAAAATTTACATATTAGCACCTAAAATTTACATATTAGTACCTTAATATACATATTAGCACCTAAAATGAACATATTAGCACCTAAAATCAAAATGTACATATTAGCACCTAAAATGTACATATTAGCACCTAAAATGTACATATTAGCACCTAAAATGTACATATTAGTACCTAAAAGGGACAAAAGTTTACCTTTTGAAAAGGTAACAGTGACAGCTTTCGTACCTTTTTTCTGAGTGTAGTGGAATACTGATTGCAAAACAGTTACACTTTTACAGTACTTTTACTGTTGGTCTGTAAACAAATTACAGTACAATGCCTCTTCTACTGTTTTTCCTCCGTACCATTCCACCACACATTCTTACTCCTCCTCTTCTTCCCAGTCGTTGACCCTGTTTGTTTCCTATGTTCTTCCATTGAATTAAATCTGTGTTGTGCTCTTGTCTATAAGCTTGCCTAATGAAGCTTCATGAGATGACATCTGAGCTCTTTAGGAAAACTGCTTGATCATTGGTCGATCTCACCCTTTACATTTCCCTTCATTAGTGAAATTGAAAATTCTCCTCCGCAATTAATCAGTTCAGGGAACATTTACAAAAAAATTAATAGAAATGCATAGAAAATATACTTGAAGCTGACATTTTAATGACTTATGCAATGCCTATAGATGTTTTGAGGGGTAAGACTATTCAACAGAGAACCATAATACATTTTGATAAGCATGACATAAGCAATTGATAATGTAGGAAACAGCAGACAATTGTACATATCAATTGCATGAATATTAAAGCATTTGCAATTTGTTCAAAAGAATGAGATATTGCTTTTATGATGTGCACAAGTGACTGTGATGTGGAGGTTGAACAAGTTGAGAATTTCAGTTGTGATTTGAGAAACGCATAGAGATTCTAAATTCTGGGAATGTCAATTTAGGGCTTTTCACTGAAAATTCAAAGATGATTTGTTATTTTTTACTTCCACAAACTACATTTAAGATTAATTTACAGATCTAGGTCTATTGTTTTCCTCCATATATAAGCAAACTACTGTTAACCATTTTACAGGTTTTCCAGTAACATTTTTTACAGTTTTTTAGTTACATTTACAAACATTTTTACAGCGTAAACTAAAGACAGAGCCCATGTTGCCATTTTGAGGAATGTGTGAGATATGATTCTATCTTATTAATCTCCAAGTCAGTGACCTCACTCAGATGTCGTATCCTACTGAACCGATCCCTCTCTCTCTCTCTCTCTCTCTCTCTCTCTCTCTCTCTCTCTCTCTCTCTCTCTCTCTCTCTCTCTCTCTCTCTCTCTCTCTCTCTCTCTCTCTCTCTCTCTCTCTCTCTCTCTCTCTCTCTCTCTCTCTCTCTCTCTCTCTCTCTCTCTCTCTGTGAGACTGCATACACAGCATCAAACTCAATCTTTTTTTCAGCAGCGAGAGTGCATTGTTCCCTCTTACGCACTAATCAGAAGGAATTCACGCGATGCCAATTTGCAGAACGAAGATATCGAGAGCTTTTGGAAAAAAAGAGCTTCAGTATAAACAGAGAAGCTGGTGACGTGAGGAGCCACTTGAAGATGACCTATTTGATCTGTGTCCAGAGAAAGCCCCATGGAGAGCGATGGTGCTGAAAGGGTAAGCTCCGGTGTGGGAGTCCGCGCGCTCACGGGCTGCGCTCTCTGCGCGCTCATCCTCTCCACACTGCTGGGGAACACGCTCGTGTGCGCCGCCGTCATCAAATTCAGGCATCTCAGATCCAAAGTCACTCATTTTTTCGTCATATCCCTGGCAGTTTCGGATCTCTTCGTGGCTGTTCTGGTCATGCCGTGGAAGGCTGTCTCTGAGGTGGCCGGCTGCTGGCTCTTCGGGAGCTTCTGCGACACTTGGATAGCTTTTGATATCATGTGCTCAACTGCGTCTATACTCAACCTGTGCATCATCAGTTTGGACAGATACTGGGCGATCTCGAGCCCCTTCCGTTACGAGCGTAAAATGACCCAAAGGGTGGCGTTTGTAATGATCGGGATGGCGTGGACACTTTCTGTCCTGATCTCTTTCATCCCTGTCAGACTGAACTGGCACAGGGCTGTGGATCATAACGCGCCTTTAAATCTCACCACACACTCGGAGGACTGCACTGCGACTCTAAACAGGACTTATGCCATTGCATCTTCACTTATAAGCTTCTACATCCCCGTTATAATCATGATAGGAACATATACACGGATTTATCGGATCGCACAAACGCAGATCAGAAGGATCTCCACTTTGGAAAGGGCAGCCGCCGGACACATGCAGAACAACCACGACTGCGCGAGCGAACAGTCGCTGAAAAGCACGTTCAAGAAAGAAACTAAGGTGTTAAAAACACTTTCCATCATCATGGGGGTGTTTGTGTTCTGCTGGCTTCCCTTTTTCGTCCTCAACTGCATCGTGCCCTTCTGTGACCTGGACACTCTTGGAGACTCTCTGTGCGTGAGCAGCACCACTTTCAACATCTTCGTGTGGTTCGGATGGGCCAACTCATCGCTCAACCCGGTCATCTACGCGTTCAACGCGGATTTCCGCAAAGCCTTTACCACTATTCTGGGTTGCAACCGACTCTGCGCGTCCTCTGCGGTGGAGACGGTGAACTTCACCAACGAGCTGGTGTCCTACAATCACGACACCACTCTGCTCCACAAGGACGCGCAGGGTGTTCCCTCAGCCCTGGGCCTGGTCCCCGGTCATGGGGAGCACATGGACTTACCTTTCGACAAGGTCTCGATCGCGTCCGATTTGTCTCGTACCCAAAGGAACGTGTTGCTGCCTGCGCTCGAGCAGGAGGGCGAGATGGAGATTTCCCTGGACATGATGCCCTTCACCTCCACTGCACTGAGCGACTGCTGTGGGATTCCTGGTCAGATTGAGGAGTGTTGAGTCTGGACTCATTTCACAAGAACCTATTTATAGCATCAGAATTAATGCGTATATGACCTCGTTTTATTTTTACATGCACTCAAAAAGTACTTAGGCCTAAATTTAAGATGTATGCATTTGAATTATATAAAATTCCCATCCTTTTGAGTTTTGAACATAAACAAGACAATAAACTTAATGCATTTGTCAATCAAACGGATAGATGCACTAAAAAAATCATGCATTATTAACTATTTGCATAGCCTAATTGATTTTATTTAAATAATCTTATTTTCAAAATGCACGTATTCTAACAAACATTTTTTTAACATGGTTAAAATACTGCTATAGCTGTGGAACAAGCAATATTCAGCAGCCATATCACCCTGTAGCCCAAGACTGGTTGCCCACTGAAGCTAAGCAGGGCTGAGCCTGGTTAGTACCTGGATGGGAGACCTCCCCAGGAAACCAGGTTGCTGATGGAAGAGGTGTTAGTGAGGCCAGTACCTTGTGGTCTGTGTGGGTCCTAACGCCCTAGTGTAGTGATGGGGACAATACCAAAGGGCACCGTCCTTTGGATGAGACATTAAACAGAGGACCTGACTCTCTGTGGTCATTAAAAATCCCAGAATGTCCTTCGAAAAAGAGTATCCAAATTTGCCCATTGGCCTCTGTCCATCATGGCCTCCTAATCATCCCCATATACTGATTGGCTTCATCACTCTGTCTCCTCTCCACTGTGGTGGGCGTTCTGGCACAATATGGCTGCCGTCGCATCATCCAGGTGATGCTGCACATTGGTGGTGGTTGAGGAGATTCCCCCTTCTACGTAAAGAGCTTTGAGTACCCAGAAAAGCGCTATATAAATGTAAAAAATTATTAATTATAATAATATTCAATTAGTTTAAATGTACGAAATTGGAAGAAATTGGATTTATTGATGATAAATATATAAACCTGGTTAATAAACATTAAGTTTATCAGCACTATTGCCGAAATCTTACCCGTTTTATGTATGACTGACAAATATGCATCACATTAAGTTTATTAGTTTCTGGTAAAATTATGAAATTTTGGTAACACTTTACAATAAGGTTTCATTTGTTAATGTATATAACTAACATGAACTAACCGTGAGCAATATTGTTACAGTATTTAATCTTCAGTAGCCTATAGTGAATAAAAATCCAGCTGTTCATTGTTTGTTCATGTTAGATTCGCAGTGCATTAGGCCTAACGAATGTTAACAAATAACAACATTTCATTTGAATCATGTTTTAGTAACTGCTGAAATTACAATTGCTGAAATTATAATTAACACCATTAATTAACCTACCATTACATTTATTTATTAGATGTAACTGCTGTAGAAGTGCAGTTTATTATTATTTCATGTCAACTAATGTATATGTATAAATCTATAATGAAACCTTATTGTAAAGTGTTACCGAAATTTTATATGAAATTCAAATATGTATCTTAAATTGAGGCCAAAATATTTTTGAGTCCTCATCAATTTCAGCTTAATCTGTCAAAAAGGTGACATTTTCAATTAGAATAAAACACTTTATTTGATTAAAGTACCACTGATCTCAGAAATTGAAAGCTGGGGTCTAAAAGTGTGAGACCACTAGTGAAATGCAAAATTATAATGTTATAAGAAATAATAATAGGCTATCAACATAACAGTTTGAATGAAGAGTTTAATGAAAAAATATTTTTTATGTTTATTTTGAAGTGTATATCCGATTTCGAAAGATTTTTAGTGTGGAAGTTTGGAGGCACCGTAGCCTATAACTGAAAAATACACAAACATGACTTTATATTTGATTTGAGGTTATCCTTATCTTATCTTATTGTATATGCACAGCTGGGCCCAGTTGTTCAAAAGTAAACCGTTTTTTCAAAAATTAAATCTTCAAAGTGTGTTCAAAAGAAACAAAGGATTCTGAAATCGGATTAGATCTCAAAATCCACTCTTGGTTTTGATCAAACTGTCAATTTGTATTGGTCAAAACTTTTTTAGTAAGATTGGAATTCCTTTTGATGTGTTTTTTAAAATCACTTTAACTATTGGCACAATCATCAGAGAAGATGAACCCGTCCGTCGAAAGACGTTTCTAGTTGCATCCGTTATTGCATATGTCTATTTGTTTGTTTTTGTTGTGGGTCACACGAGAGGCTACGGAAACTCTAAAGGGACATGGTGATGAGGGGGAAATATGAGATGGAAGGAAAAATGAATTTTAATGCTTTTGCGCTTCCTCGCACATGTTTTGTGTTCCCGGAGGAACTTTGCATTCACTCTCAAAACGTAAGTTTTCTTTCTCTTCAAATAAAATTGACTCTTCATATAGCCTACTGTGACTCAATGGAACTGTTGTTAGCTAGCAGCCATTGTGAAATGTAACCCCATGTGGAGCACTGGTATTGCAGATTGAAAAAGTGTGTATCTGGTTTAGGGTGATCCAATCCTATTTTTCCAACAGGTATTACCTGATCCTGGGTAGCAAAACATAGGATTTCCAAATTTATAGATAGCCTAATTCTGATGCAGATTCAACTCTTTAAACAACTGGGCCCTGGTGTCAGATATGACACTTTATTTTAAAGTTGTTTTTGAAGTATAATGAGGAATGTTATTCCCCTAATACACACAAGAACCGTATCATACATGCTGACTCCAAAAACAACAGTTAAGAGAAATGTCAGTCTTTGTGCCACCTTGAGCTTGAAAACACAAGATGAGCTTTTAAGTCATTTTTGAACTTTGTCTGAAAATAACTAACCATGCTATTATGTTTTTCATGTTTTTGAAGCAGACCACATCAAGTATTGTCATAATGCTGAGAACTGCACAACTACTATAATGAGGTGCTCATCAGAAAATACATGTCTGCCTTATTAAAAGACTTGATTAAACAAAATGCGGAAAAAAGCTTGCAGTGGGTCTCTGTTGTGCTTAGATGCAAATCTGAAGAGGCTTGTTAAAGTTAATTGCTTTAATTACCACAGCTATTAAGAGATGAAGTGTGCTGTAATAGGTGCCACTTGGGAGCAAAAAAAAAAAAGATAAAGTAAATTTCAAGCATCTAATCAATGAAACCTGCAAAGATAAACACACACACACACACACACACACGCACACGCACACACACACACACACACACACACACACACACACACACACACACACACACACACACACACGTTTCTTGTTTTAAGGGGACATTCCATAGACATCATGATTTTTATACTGTACAAACTGTATTTTCTATCCCCTAATCCTACACCCATCACAGAAAACTTTCTGAATTTTTACATTTTCAAAAAACACCACCACCACTGTATGATTTATAAGCTGTTTTACTCAGTGGGACCAAAAAAAAAAAAAAAAAGTCCCCACAAGGACAAGGATGTATAGCATCTTTGTGGGGACATTTTGTTCCTATAACGTTGGGTTTACCTGAAACACACACACACAACAAGTAATCTTCGTGGACACTTTGAGGGCACAATGCCCTGTGTAAACTCTTGAACTTAGACAAAAAGCTATTAGTTCAGCAATTTATTCGTGGTGCAGTGCCATTTTTGTTCAAGGTAATAACTGCATGTGACGAGGAAGGATTTAGGAACCAGCACAAGGAGAAATAAAAAGCTATATCAAAAGTAATTGGTTGCTAAATTTACCTTCACACAGTATAAGTGAATTGTCTATTTGCTGAGAGTGCATTTTGACCATCTTAGTAACCCTTGAAAAAAACGAGTAAATAGATTTGAAGTGTTCACTCCAAGGTTCTTTTGGGCACATTTATTATTTCACACCCAGAAAGTAGTAATTGTTTTATTGATTTCAAAGATTCTAATATGCGCACACACACACACACACACACACACACACACACACACATACACATACACACACACACACACACACACACACACACACATACACACGCACACGCACACACACACACACACACACACACACACACACACACACAACCGTTTAAAATATATAATCTGTTTCGATGTGCACTTTAAGCTGTCTTGAGTGATTTTCTGTAAGATAAACCACATACAGCTTTGAAAGCTATGAAAAAATACGTTTAGCATTTATTAATCTTAGTTCATGTTAGCATTTGTTGAACAGTTGTATTTTTTTATTAACTAACTTCAACAAAATAACAAATGTATTGTTCATTGTTAATGCATTAACTTATATGCAAAAACGATGTGATCATCGCAACTGGCCCACCTTTACAGGTACTCTGCCCTGCCCCATCTGTGAGCCAGTGGCATCGCTCTCTCCTCTCCTTCTCTCCTCCTTCCAAGCACCAACCTTCTCCCTGGGCCAGCTCAAGGCTTGGTTGCATCTCTCAACACTACAAGAGTTAGGTGGCTACAGCCGGTCATCAGATGGGCACCCCCCTTCCTTGGTGTTTCGTCGATTTAAGCCCATAACACCTCGGGAGGGCTCGACAGTAGATCCAGCGTCCTGGATCTACCCCTGCTGACCACCACCCAACTCTATGCCGTTTTTGGTCCTTCAACAGGTTTGCTCTGCCACCGCACCTCCCGCTGTATCCAGATCCAATTTGATGCTGTTTCCGCCTGTTCAGTGACATTGCCTATCAGCCGTTTCCTGGCCATCCCTTCAATCCCCAACAATCCGAGTGTTCTCCAGAGCGACTGTCCCGCAAAACCTCTGCAGCCGACCTCTACTGGTAGATTCCAGGCCTTCCATCCTTTTTACTGACTCTCGAGGATAAGGCCTTGATATTTTTTGAGCTTACGCTCATGTGCCTCCTCCATCCTTTCTTCCCAGGGTACAGTTAACTCTATGAGCACCACCTGCTTGGTACCTCTAGACCAGAGTACAATATCTGGTCTGAGGCTAGTGAGTGCTATCTCCTCCGGGAATTTGAGCTGCTTTTTCAGGTCTGCCCGCATCTCCCAGTCATTTGCTGAGGCCAGGACCCCTCTGCTCCTCAGTACCGCTGCAGTGCTCTCTCCTGTCCTGACGAAATGGATAAAGTGGTGCCCATCAGAAAGCCATTTACGATTCTTCCTTGCCTGTTCCACACCATCCGCCAACCGAGACAGGATCTTATCATGACGCCACCGGAATTTCCCGTCTGTCAAACTTGACCGGCATGCTGAAAGGATGTGCTCAAGAT